GCTTCTCAGTCTAATGCTCCCCAACTCGGTCATAATACAAGTGGCCGTAAGGATTCAGCTTCTCCTACTCCTGCGACATCTGACTCCCTCCTTCCTCTTTCTCCGACATCTCCATCTCACTCGAACCACTTGACGCATTTGCCTGCCCCTAAACTAGCTGCAGCAGCAGCAGCAGCCCCATTTGTCGTTTCGTATCCTCCGGATAGTCACGCTGAGACACATGAACATCCGTCTACATCAGCTAGACCGATAACTTCTATTGTTCAACTGGGTGCTGTAAGGTCTACAGCTAAGTCACCTGTGGCTTGGCGTCAGAACGGTGAGAGTCGAAAATTGAATCAGACTCCGACCCAAAAGAAAGGTAGTACAGTTCCATTTGGAGGTACTACGCCTTCTCTTAGATCTAACAAGTCTGCTCAGCCCAGCACGTCTACAAATCCCGCAGCTCCAATTATATCCTCGAATAATTCTCTGTCCTGCGTACCGGTTACTTATCAAAGCCCTACTACATATCCAGCAACTAATTCATACATGAATTGCCCTAAATCATTTATGCCCCGACCTAGTTCAGGCTTCCCACCACTTAATTCAGTATAATTCAGTATAATTCAGTATATATGAGGGATAGAGGCAGAGCCTTGGAAAACCCTATTTACAGATAGACGTAGAAAAAAACATGCAGATATTTACATAGCAGTTATACCAGCCATTGATATCATGTAAATGTTTGACCATCAAACATAAGTTTATCTAGTCTTCTTTTGAAGGTCTCGACGTTTTCCGCTAGGACAACGGAGTTCGGCAGTTTGTTCCATCCCTCAACCAGCCGGTGAGAGAAGAATTTGGCCCGCAAATCGAGTCTGGCATGTTTCCTCTTCAATTTGTATGCGTGCCCTCCGAGATTTGTCGTCCGCGCCAGTTCGAAGAAGTCGTCAAACTGAAGAGCACAGTCTAGCCCTCGGACGATCCTGAAGGCCATGATCATGTCCCCTCTGTACTGTCTATAAGAGAGAGGAAATATTTTTAGCTTCTCCAGCCGTCTCTCATAAGGTAAGGTACTTAATCCGCCGACTAGCCTGGTCGCTCTACGTTGTACGTTCTCCAGTAGGGTGTAATCTTTTTTCGTCCAGGGACACCATGCCTGGACACAATATTCCAACATTGGTCGAACGTATGCGCCAAATACTCGGCCGAAAAGTTATTCATCAAAATTGACGAAAGATCTTCTAATCGCGCCTAAAATACCCATAGCTTTCTTTGATACCTTAGCGCAATGAGATGATGGTTTGAGAGTTGACGTCATCCACACACCGAGGTCTCTTAACTCGTTGACTGATTCGAGTTGGTGACTTCCTATAAAGTACTGAGATTCAAATCTCAACGGCTTCCTGTTGCTCGAACGTAATCGGATAAGTTGGCATTTGTTACGATTGAGGCTTAGACACCACTCATCACACCATTTTTGCAAGCGATTTAAATTGTCTTGTAATTGTACAGAATCTTCCGGCTTCTCTATTGATTGCCACAATTTGAGATCGTCGGCAAACATAACTCGCTCGCAGTTCAGACAGTCCAGGCAGTCGTTCACATATATAAGGAACAGAATTGGTCCCAGAACGCTTCCCTGCGGAACGCCACTGTGCACGGATGCCCAATTGCTCTCAGGTACGTCAACCTATCTCCTTTGACTTCCAATCTAGACCTGGTTTCCCACTATTTCATTCTTTTAGTGGCCTACCCTCACCCATTAGCCCCTACTTTCCTTTTAGCCTCCCTCCTCCTCCTCCTCCTCCCCTTCCTCCATTATTTAACTACCAACAAGTCTATCCATATTCTAACTCCCCTTGCATTCCAATGTTTGAAAACTATATCTCCACCTCCTTTAGGTCTCATACTTAGCCTTCTCTTGCTGACTCCCCATACGTCAATAACTCTAAATTAACTGGTACTTATTCTCCAAGTGTCATTAATTCGCAGCTTACATATCCGCCTCCAAATTTTTTTTAAATACCGTCGAAAATAGCATTGCCGTTCGAAANTCTTCCAGTCCTCGAATATTGCTGTCCTTTCTTCGGTTTAATGAGCGCCTGCGACCGTAATAAAATCGAAAATGTTCAGAGGGTTTTCACTCGGAAACTGTTCTCTCAAGCTTCGTCCAGTATTTCTTATACTCAGAGATGTCAGCTGGCGAACATGAAGTTTTTGTGGGTTAGAAGACTCGAAGCTGGCCTTTGCTTCCTTTTTCGCATCAACTCTAGCTCCAGTCTTCCGCACATTGACACTCTCACTCCGAGAGATCGGTCTTATGCCACGCGCAACTCCTGCATGGTGATTCCGCCGCCTCTTTGTACTACATCTAAGCGCTCCCTCTTCTTTGCTTCCAAATATGCCTTCCTTTGGAATAATCTTCCGCCTGAAATTAGATTATCGCCTAGGTTACTGATATTCAAGTCGAAATTACGCAACCATCTTACACCGGAAAGCATAAAGGCACTGTTAACGGTCTCATTCCCGAACACTCAGGTTCTTGACTTCGAGAAGGGTCCTCCTGGGATTTAGTGGTAGATTAAGTGGTAACTCTTAATTATATCATTAGAAACCCCTGTTTTGAATTGGTTTCTTAATC